TATGTTCTTTTTTTCTTTTTATTTCTTATATTTCCTTATAGTTAAAGAAGATTATATAAAAAAATAACCTTAAGAGTATTAAATCTAGTCTATTTAAATAGTTTTTATTTTTATTTATAAAAAAGAAATTAATAAAATCTTTTTCTTCTTTTAATTTTTTTAAGTTCTTATTTAACTATAAAGTCTTACTTATATTAATAGTACTTTTTTTTATTATAGTATATAATATATTTATATAAAAAGTAAACTAGATTATTAATATTTATATTATTAACTACTTTAGACTTTTTTACTATAAAGTAAGTTAAAAAGAGCTTTTTAAAAGGACTTTCTATTTTAATTAAAAGTCTTATAACCTTTTTATTATAATTATACTAATATTCTTACTCTTAATAGTACTTATTTATTAATAAGTTTTTAGTCTTATTTAAAAATTATACTCTAATAATACTAATTAGACTATTTCTTTAAAGTGATTCTCTTTTATAATAATCCTAATACTAAACTATTCTTTTAAAGCTTTATTATAAATCTTATTTTATTTATATTATATTAATTATAAAAGGGGATATTATTAATCTATTTAATAGTAAAAAGCTTAAAGAAACTCTAAATAGTATAAATTAAAACTTTATTTAGATATTTAAAATTAAAGTACTTACTCTTAAAGGTTTTAATCTTTAGATTATACTTTAAAAAGCTTTATAATTAGTTCTTTCTAATATTATAATAATTATTATTTTATTAGTAGAGACTTAATATAATCTTTTAAACTTATTTATAAGTAAGGGGGCTATTAAGATAATCTTAAATTAAAAACTAAAAGACTAAATATAATTTATATATTATTAAAAGCTATTATATTAACTTAAATACCTCTTTTTATAGTACTCTATTATTTATTTAATACTAAATAATTACTTATAGGATAGACTAGTAAGTTATTACTTTTTATATTCTTATATTACTAATAATATCTTATATAGTATTTTAAAGGTCTTATTTTATATATTAACTTATAATAATATAGTAGTAAAAAAATAATAATAATAGGATTTATTTTATATAAGAAAACACACTTTTAGTAATAAAGGTTTATTAGTATTAAGGGGTAAGGTTAGGTGGCCTAAATGTGGGTGTGGCCTATAAGTGGGTGGTCGACGTTATGCACAACATCAAGCCACGGGAGAAACCAACCGATGCCATCACAAACATAATGCATCATACCCAGAGAACACAATTTCCTCTGACGCCATGCCCTGCTCTAGTCTCGGCGTGTCGCCCAACAACGTCACTGACGCCGACAAATTACAATACGCCGCCATCGAAAAAGTCCAGATCGCCCGAATGAAACGCATACGCAAGTCCCTCCGAGCTATCAAAATCCTGACGATAAAAAAGGACGCGCTTAACGGCCTGTCTATATCTCTAGGCTCGTAGCTCGATGTTCGCCACGACGACGTATCGCCCTCGCGCATCTCTAAAACCTTCTTGGCGCCCTGCGACTGGCCGCTTAACGTCCTCGAGGCCCGAACCTGGAATGCAACAACAGTATGGCACAATTTAGAACAAGTCAGTCCCGACCCGGCCATTTTACTCCAGTTTCCTTTATCGAAATTGGACTGGTACGAAGATTGCCTCTACCGAATGTCGCACTTTGTGCCAAACCTATGGCACTTTTATTGGTATTTAAAAGTCTACTATCTTCTTAGACGCCACAGGACGGACCGTCACTAACAGTCCCCAGCGATCAGATGTCAATCAAGGAGGAGCTCGGCCTGTCCTCCCATATCGCATGTTCCAAGAGCGCCCGTGGATCATGCACTACCACGAATACTGCGGTATGTGGGTAATGTTTCCCCCACTGGAGACTGAGCTGCCACACGTGTCCTGTTTCGTCATCGACTCGGGTGTTCCTGAGGACGTCGCTATCCTGCTCTCTGAGGCCGAGCACGCCGTCGCTCTCATCCAGTACCAGCTACAACGGGACACCTTTACTAACCACCACACAAAACCCGCACTAATCGCTACCTTACTACGGAACCAGACGGGCCGCCTGACCCAGGCCTACTTTGACGGCAAGCAGAACAAGCTGGTCCTGCGCCAGTCGCGGACCCTGGACTTGTCGGGCCCCGAGCCTAGCCCGGACTGGCCCCAGGCCGCGGAGACAGGCCCCTCGGGGCACACCGAATACATGATCAAGTTCCCCTCATGCCATAACCATGACACTCGCCCTCAATATTGTATTATTAGCATATGGCTGCAGTCTATACCCACACCTTGTTCCATAGCCGTCTTTAACACCAGTAATTATTACACCTTTTCTTTATTTCTTATTCGCAGCAGAAACGAGACTCTTCCGTCTCTCGTCCTCTGTTGATTCGCTTCACTCTTCTAACAATCATTGCTTTATATATACATACTACATACTTGTATTTGGCGTCATTGCACCTTAACCCCGATTCAGATAGCACGGCTTCCGCATCGCCTCCTTTTCACAAGCTCAAGATACCCAGATTCGCCGCCGACTGGCTCCACATGATCCAGGAGGACCCGGACATTGATCCCGCCGTGAAGCGAGGCCAGAGGACCCTGCACGTCGCCCACACGAGTACAAGTCCGGGTCGAGCATCCGGCCCTCCGAGTTTCTTCACCTGCAGGATTACAATTTTAGGCTAATTCTACCAGCAGCGCCACCATTACCATTTATACACCTGTTTTGTTCGTACACTCTGCAAGCGCAGCCTCCCCTCAGATCTCGACAATCGGACCCTCGTACTCCTTGCGCGCCCAGAAGACGTAGTACAAGATGCTGAAGATGAGGATAAAGCCGGTCACCGCCGCGGCCCAGTTCATGTTTGCCGCCGTCGGGTCCATCATCCCCGGCCAGAAGCTGAAGAAGAAGATGACGATCAGGTAGACGCAGCTGATCGCATTGTTGACGATTCCCAGCGCGCCGGGCAAGTGCCACGGGCCCCACACGAGCTCCGCGCCGGTCGTGTTCGCCAGCGCCGGCATCTCCGCCGCGCCCGGCATCACGAACCCCGACGTGGTGCGACGATACAGCAGCAGCGCCGCGCAGATGAAATATGACAGATACAAGCAGGAGATGGACAGCGAGATGACCGCGTTCAGCGCCGTGGCGGACCCCAGGTTGATGAGAGCCAGCAGGCAGGCAATGGCAGTGGTGCAGGCGACGGCCCAGAGGGGCACGGTGGTGCGGGCGTCGACGCGGGACAGTACGCGCCAGAAGGGGAGGCCGCGGTCGCGCGCAAAGGACCAGAAGACGCGCGAGGTGGAGGCGAGCATGCCGACGGTGGCGCAGGCGCCAAGCGCGGTGATGACGGCGGCCATGGCGGTGGAGCCAGCGACGGAGCCGGTCGAGTCGAGGAAGAGCTGCATGTGGGCGAAGCCGGTGGGCGAGGAGAGCACGCGGTCCAGGTCCTGGATGCAGAAGAGCACGGCGACGGTCATGGCGAAGCCCGTGGTGCCGTTGATGAGCATGGACAGGAAGATGGACTTGGGCACGGTGACGGCCGAGTTGAGCGTCTCCTCGGACATGTGGAAGGCAGCGTCGACGCCTGTTCACTTGTCAGCAGCTGTACATACACATACATGTACAATGTCGTAGACCTTGGGGGCGCGGGACGAGAACTCACCAACAAAGGCAAACACATTACCAACCAGACCAACCATAAACGACAGCCCCTGCGTCGGCCAACCGCCGCCGTTGCGGAACTCGGTAAACACCTGGTGCGGATCGCCGTGGTACCCCAGCGACACCATCGGGATCAAGATGGCAAAGAACCCGAGCACGTGCAGAATCAAGATCAAGCCCTCGAACTTGGGCAGCGCCGAGCTGACCACCGCGTTGACCAGCACCGCGAACAGCATCACCGCCCAGAACAGCAGCGTGCCCTGCCACGCCTGCGGCGCGTACGTCTCCGGGTTGTTCATCGCCACCATGCCCTGGATCATGGTGCCCGTCAGGAACGCCGAGCTCGCCACCGAGCCCTGCCACCCGCCGACCGCCAGCCAGCCGGTGATGTAGGAGAGAAACTTGGAGCAGCGGCGCGGGGCGAGCATGGCGACCCAGTGGTACTGGCCGCCGGAGGTGGGCGCCATGGAGGCGAGCTCGGAGAGGGTGGTGAAGACGGAGATGTTGCCGAGCCAGACGATGATGTAGCCGTAGAGGACGCCGGCGTAGCCGCCGTTGGCGAGGCCCTGGGCGGAGAGCACGAGGGTGGCTTCCCAGGTGATGAGGATGGTGCACGAGAAGCCGAGGATGGACATGAAGCCAAAGTTGCGCTGGGAGGGTTAGTATTGGGCAAGGTTGTCGTCGTCGTGGTCATCGTGGGCTTGGATGATCAGTAGTGAATGGAGTTCATACCTTCAGAACAGACTTCTTGCCGAGGCGCGCGAGCTGCTCGCTGTCGGCGTAGTCGCTCTTGGAGACGACGTCCTCGCTGTGAGGACTGGACGGCGCTTCGACGGCGCGCATGCCCTTGGCCGTGGCCGTGGCCATGTTGCCAAGCTCATGGCCAGTCGAGGACATATTTCGTCGGCTGCAGGTTTCTGCGAGGCTCCGTTGAAGGGTGGTGGTTGGAAGTTTACAGCACCCGCGTCATGGGTTCTGGAGAGGATGATCTGCGTGTAGATGAAGGAAAGGACAGATTCTGGAAGGAAGAAAGACAGATGCAGAAAAAGGTCCCTGCTTGTCTCACCCGAAGCGAAGCGAAGAGGAGAAAAAGGGTCCAGGTGGTTCAGGGCCAGTTATGCACCAAGGGAGCTATTATAACAAGGCAAACGGGTCCAAGCAGAGACTAGCAAGAGAAACTAGTTGGAAAGAAAAGAAAACTCCGAACGCCACATGGCAGAGGAATTTTGGGTCAGATGCAGGTTCAGTTGAAACTTGCCTGGTAGCACATGGGAGCCATGATCCTGGGCCAGGGCGACGGTTCGGGTGGACTCGACTTGTCATTAGCTTGGGCATGGGATAGTTACAGTGGGGGTCTCATTGTCGTGCAGACCTGTGCTGGTCCTCTAACTAATAACTAAATGTAACCTGCAACATTCGCTGCGCATATGCGAGCCTGGTTGGCCGGAGCTGTGCGATGTTGCATTGTTCAACGGGTGGCTAAGCCGAAGACGAAGCGGCCAAGTGGGTTAGTACAGCCGAATTACGGGTGAGTAACCAGGTTCAACTCACTAACATAATAACTAGCTAACTAGTGAACATGGGAAACATGCAAAAGAAAAAAAGGAGCCCAATTTTTGAAGGGGAGGGGTGGAATGGAGGGGGAGGAGGAGGAGGCGGCGGCGGCGGCGGCGGCGACTCACAAGCCTTTGCGATCAGCAATTCAACTTGGCTTGATGCGACCCCTGCCAGCAGGACCCAGTGGGGAGGAGGGAGGAGGCAAATGCTACCAGCCAGTCGATGCTTCTTTTTCCTTTCTTCCGTCCAAAAGTCTCCGGCCCCCTTGGAAGTGGAAACTCCCGTCCCTGCTGCTGGACGCTAGTTAGGCATAAAGTTTGGCCTCTCCAGGAACCAAGACTTGTTTGTCAAAGTTTTTGTTCCAAACCGGTCAAAGGTCAGTCTGTTGACTAGAATCGGCGAATGCCACAACAATGCAACGCCGCCCCCCAGGATTCAGGGAAAACCACGCACGCACGGCACGCAACCTCTTCTTAAAAAAAAAAAAAAAAAAAAAAAAGAAAAAAACGACCTTTGCAAGCTCTTCTGTCCGTCGCGCCGGGGCGAAAGACGACCTTTGCAAGCTCTTCTGTCCGTCGCGCCGGTGCGAAATAGCAACCCACTGTGGGATGCTACGTGGGCTTGGCGAGATGAAGAAGAGGAAAAGAAAGATGATGAAAGTCCCATCCATCCATACGAGAGGGGGTGTGTGCGTAAAGAAGAAAAAAAAAAAAAGGTGGGCTAACTGATAATCTCGAGCCCACGACATCTCGCTCCACACGAGCGGATTTCCTCAGAACGACAAGGTCTCTCACTCACTAATCAGGTCGCCAATCAAGCAGAGACGCTTCACTTTTATCCGTAGTTTCAAGTCCAAAGATGCCCCAAAGCTGCCCCCCCCGGTAACTTGCCTGCCGACTCGACTTGCCCACCTGGACGAGGCTGTCGGGGGAGGGACCTTGCCAGCTAGTTTATATGAGCCATAACCAAACTATACATGAAGAAGGGGGGGGGGGGACTTTTGTGGGGGTTCGTCTCGTCAGTACTTGGAACCCCCGTCAGCCGTTGCACTCTTTTTTTCTCCTTTTTGTTTGTTTTCTGTCCAACTGCCGCAGTGACGACGCTCCTCGCTTAGACAACGTGGCGTGTGAGAAAAAAAGGAAACCCCGGGACCGATTTCAGCTGGGGCGAGATGTGACGAAAAACCAGAAATCAGATCATCAGATGTGCTCCCTCTCTCCCTCGCACAGACTTGGGGGGATTTCTTTTTTTTTTTTTTTTAAAAAAAAATGGCAGACGAACGCCTCAAAGTAGTGCCTCTGCCGCCCCCAAATGACCGGGTGGCTTGGCCGAGAGAGGAGGTCCAGACGGGCCGCGACCGCATAGTGAATGCTGACAAGATTTCATTCCTCGTCAAGAAAGGGTGCAGGAATGGCATCGATCGTCTCTGCATGTCTTGAACTTGCTGAAGAATTAATTCTTTCGCGAAAAAAGGCATGCATGTCTCTCATCACCACCACACGTTGCTTTTTCACACTCAAGTCTAGGCCCTGATCGTCGCGCGCCACAGCGGAAAAAAAGCACATCTAGAGATACTGTCATTATACACTATATCGTAGCCTGCCGAAACTGCCGAATTCGCAAATCTAGTCAAAGCACAACAATAAAAAGAAAAGAAAATATACAAAATTCCGCCGCCCTGCTCCCGGACCCCCGACTCAGCCGGGGCTGTCTAGTTGGACTCGCGCCGCTCCTCCACGTCGACGTACCACGTCTTGGTCTGCTGGATCAGGATCGTCTGGCTCGTGTGGCTTTGCCCGTCCCATGCGCCGTCGCCGTCGCGGTTCTGGTTCGTCTGCTGCTGCTGGCCGTTCTCCGTGGTCGTCGTCTGCTCCTGCTGCTGCTCCTCCTTCTTGGCCCTGTGCATGTCCACCATCTCAAACATCTTGCTGCGCTGCGACGCCTTGGACGCCAGCGGGTCGCGCCGCGAGTTGTTGCCCCCGTGCGACCGGTTGTTGCCGCTCCTCCGCCCACCGCTGCCGCTGCCGCTGCCGCCGGACGCGTTCCGGTTGTAGCTCCCGTATCCGCCGCTGCTCGACTTGCCCTGCCGCCGCAGGTCGTCCACCCGGATCTGGCCCGACTCCAGGCTGTCCAGGAACGGCTTGAGGTTCGGCACGCAGATGGCCAGGATGCTGGTGCACGTCACCACTGCGGTGATGACGGCCAGCTCCCACGAGACAAAGGTCGCGTCGGCCGCTGCGAGGCCGCGGGGTAAGTAGACGATCTGGGCGATGATGGCGGGGGTGACTCTGTAAAGACGTTAACATTCGGTGCGAGTATTGTGAGATAACAAAAACGAACAAGATTCGGCTGCCAAAGACGCAGATGACAAGGACTTTCTTGGACCATGAAGTCTGGATTCGCCGCACGTTTTCCACCATGATCCCTATCAGCAGCAGGTCGGTGATGATGTTGACGACGCTGAAGCAAGTCCAAAACGCGACCTAAGTATACATTAATTAGCCGAGGTGGTGCGAGTGAGGACGGTTGTTACGCGACATACTCGCTGAATGCATTTCCGCTCAATGTAAAACCACGGACTCGGCAGTTGGCACTGGAAAAGAACGACAAGAATCCCAGTCACCGCCCACAGCGCAATCAACAGCTCAATCGCCTGTATTATTCGTCTGTGGCTCCGTTGCGAAATCGACGTTGTCATCATGGCCGTCGCAATCTTGGCGCAGAAGAGGCTCGCGATGAAGAAGACATCAGATGCATATTGGCCCTGTAACCTGTCAGCTACGCCATCCTATCCTCTCTTTTCCTCTCCACATACCTTGAGTGCGCCGTTGACTCTGTCTGGCGTCAGGTCCGCCACATGCTTGCCCAGCCCTTGGTAGCCGCCGGCCACCTGCGCAATGTACTGCCCACACGCCGCGATCTAAACCCCCAGGTCAGCACCCCAAAAACTCCAATCTTGCAAGCGAAAATCGTACCGTGGCGACAATGGCAAACCAGTCCTCGGCCTTGAGCCTCTTGACCATGTACAGCTTCGTGCCGGTCCGCGCGACGCAGGCGAGCACCGCGATGACGAGGAACATCCATGCCAGGATCTGGATAAGAGGAGACTTGTTATTGTCCGTGACCAGCTCTCTCGGTGGGGAATCCATGATGCGGGATCATGAGGGGTGAGAGCGGACAATGGGGGAGGAGGAACTGTCTTTGGATGAATAGGTCAGGGAGAATGATGCATGATATTATGTAGCGAGAAGATAGATAGATGGCCTTGGCTGGTGGGACGGAAGGCGGCGGCGACGCACCCAACATGGCGTAATAAATGTAGTTACGTACAGTACTTTTTACGCATATCAGGGCTCTTCAGCAGCTTCTTTCTTCTTACTGGTCTCACTGGACAGCAAGTGTCCTCCAGTCCGGAACCTGCCAGAGGCCCCCAGGTCGGCTGGGATGGATCGGCCAGTGGGTGTCTTGCCCTCGGCTGGGCGAGTCAAGTTGTGACCTCTTGGACTTGCCCCTCTGGATTCTGGATGCATGTTTCTGGAAGAGGTCGCCAATTGCTATCGACACACCCTGATGACAGGGGGAGGAGAGGCGAGGCGCCACACCGGGCCCCCCCCAAGCCCCAAGGTCCCTCTCCGCTGCTGGGCATTACAAGGCTGCAGGGTTCCCGTGATGCAACTTTTCTTCTTCTTCTTCGTCTGAGCTTCCTTTTTCTCGCGAGCTACCTGAGCTACGAATAGCCACATTCCCACCATCGGGATTGGCGTGGCCCAGGTAGTTTGCCGAGAAAGCCCTCAATCGATACTTGTCTGTAGCCGGTCATACACATGCTCTGATTCTTGGCAGTGTGAGAGTAGATGCGGCCATCAATGTGCATAACCAAGGTCCACAGTTGATGTCGCTTCCAGGCATGCCAAAATTCTAAAGCCACATCAAGTCTTGAGCAACCGCGCTAATAATCCCTCCAGTTCCGGGGACTTGCTGGGCCACTGCAGATGCTGGCTGGGAAAATGATGCTACAATTGCTTCTGGTGGGCGATTAATATGCTGCGTATTTTTTTTTATTATTGTCAAAAGGATAGTGCGAATAAGCCGCCTCCTCATGAAAGCAGCCACAAACGCCACCAATGCTGCTTCGTCGCCCATTCTGCGATCCTCTCAAGTAAAAAGGGGGGGGGGGGTGGGTAAGAAAGCTTTTCTCTCGGTGCGCGACGGATACCTCCAGTTATCCTACGTAATTACATAGCTCTTGGTTCTTCACCATCATGCATCCGTACTAGCAAGCCAACTAGCTGCAGCTGCTTATTATTTAGGCTCTCCGCTGCTGCAGGTCCTCTTCTCGTTGGCGGATCCTTCCCAGCTGGCTGGTATTTGCGACGGCCTGCCCGCGGGTTCGCGTCGCATCGTCGCAGCGCCGAGACAAGAGATGCTGCTCACCAGGGAAATGAAAGCGCTTGAGGGCTTTCTTTTGACACATATCTTCTGACTGTCCCTGACAATTGATATTCTCAAGAGCTTTATGTAATACCGCGTTTGTTCTGCGTTCGTTGTGATGTTGCTCTGACAACAACACTGTACACCATCAATAAACGCCCTGAGGCACCTGCCGTAGTATCTTCACGCGTACTTTGGTGGCGTTTGTCGCCTAATCAGTGTCTTCTGCTTGCCCAACATATCCGCGTCTACGCATCTCCCATTTCATTGTTCATCATCAAAGATTGACCACCAAGCATCAAATTCCGTAATTCCGCCAGTTGTTGTATCAATCGCTTGCCCGCCGCAATGTCGTGTTGTGTCGCCGGTGGTCCCGCGGCCGACTCCGACGCGGCCGACAAGATTCGGCGCGTCGCGCTCGAGGCTGTCCAGCGCGAGAAGCTTTCCGAGATGCAGAGCGCCCTAGATAAGCTGCATGACTTGCCTGTGATCGACAGGGGTGGCCTCGAGACGCTCTCGATAAAATGTGCCCCGATGTTGGACGTGGACAACCTGGACTCTGCGTCGCCTTCTCAGCTTCAGTCCCAGTTTTTCATGCCCTGTACCTGGCCGCATGTCACGGACTGTCAGGTTAATAGTGGATTCTAGGATATTCGGCCTTGTCGGCTGCATTGCTTGATCTTTTTAAGGTCTCTGTGGTCTAACGGTCTAACCTAGAAGCCGTCATTACAACAGCGCGGGTCTCTACTCCTGGTTCGTCAACTATGAGCAGGATTGACTCAAGTCTGAGGATTGCCAAAAACGAATCATGGATATTGCTGATTCCAAGAATATTGCCATTTACAACATTTTTGCCGAGGGCGTCGAGGAGGCGGGAAGCACCGAGAACTACGCCCTCGCACAGGAGGACACTCAGCAAGGTTTTACTTCCCAGGCTTGTCTTTGGTACCCCGAAGACGATTTTGAGATTGTCTATATCGGAGATGAAGTCTACGACGGCCGTCAAGCGCGGCTTGCAAGCCTCCCTGTATTCTTGTTTTGCCACCTAGCAAGCTACCCGAAGACATTACCATCTCCTCGACCATCTCCCCGACCTCGTATACCACGCATGTGCAGGTTGGAGGCGAGAAGTCGACAATTACAATCACTCCTAACCCAGTCACCACGGACAAGGCCGAGTTCTCCAACGTCAGAGTTCTGGGAACAGAAAGCGATGGCGTTGTGCTTCAGGCAAGGACAAGTATCCCTCTCGGCAATGGCACCGTCCTTCTGCCTTACAAGGACAAGGGCGGCAAAATGACAAGCACCGAACGAATCTTTGTCTTTCCTCCTTGGCCAGAATACACGACCTGGCCGCTCGAAGTTCACCACAGCGACAAAGTGACTAGCAACCCAGCACAGAGTTTCAAGACTCATGAGCCTACCCTACCAATTGAGCCCGCGGATCCGAAGTTTACGCCTACGCCGACGCCGACTGAGACCTCGATCGAGAACCCCAACCTAACAGAGTTCCGTATGTAGCATTCTCTGCTTTTTCCTGGTCTAAGCCAATTGCTGACGTAACTTCATCTAACTGTCATCCGCATGGAGCCAATATACGAAGATATAGAGTCTCACTGCACAGAGACAGAGTGCGAGGGAGAAAAGGATGATGATGACCGTGGGGCTTTCATTTTCTTCCGAGTTCGGTGCGATGATCTTTGGTTCTTCAACGTGAGAGATTCTAGCAATATCCAAAGTCAATCACTGCTAATCCCACTTTAGTTCTGCATCGACACGAATAATCACAAGATCAAAGGCTGGAAATTCCGACTTCGCCAAAGCAGCAAGTTCGGACCGTATGGTCCTCCAAACCTCACTCGATCAGTCTCGTTGCTGATTTGGCCAAAATAGTGGCCCGCCTCCTATTGTCATTGACTATCCCACGCAAATCATCTACCCTCCTATCCTGCCTCCTTGACCCGAAATTGAGTACATGAGCCCAGACCAAACGGCATGCTTCTGAGAAGGGGTGAAGCTGACTGTGCGCTAGAGTTTTCGAGCCAGACAAGATGAAATTCTCCAAAACAGACCCCAGCAGCGATGACAACAAAGCATCGGGAAGTCATTGCCCGCGCACTGGGTGGTGCCCATGACATTGGGAGCTAACAACGGCATCTATTCTACAGGTTCCTTTTCAAATGTACACCAGATCCTACGGTCTGTCTGTATAAGATGACAAGACGATCACGACCACAACGCGCACAATTACAGAGACGGCTTACGAGACAGGTTGCCCAACCCCAGAGTGGACGTCGCCTCGGCGTGTGGTATTCAGCAGAAGCCAACGGCGATGATGACGCCAACGGCCACCCCGGCAGTTGCTCCGAGAGAGACGTCTGACGTATTGGCGCCGACCGGCTCACTCGCCTCCGGCATCGGGTCTCGCAAGCCGCACGAGTTAGGTTGGCATGATGACTGTTTATGCATTTCTGATTCGTACGATGTCATCATCTATGTTGACGAAAGACAGGCGGACAAGTTCTCGATGAACGAGATTAAGAATCGACTGAAATATGACACGAGCAATTTTGGTCAGGAGTATCATGCCTTCCACCACCGAGACCCTTTCGACTTGATTGGCTATGTTTTCCTGTACGTTTGGAACATGCCCCGGGAACTCAGACTGAAATTTTCGAGAATGCCTAGCGTAAATAGAAATCTCGAACAAGTCCCTCGCCCTCGCCCTCGCCTGGGCAGGTCTCCGTCCCGGCCGCTTACATGGAAGCCAAACAGGTCACAGATGTTACTCGCGCACGGAGGCCCACGTCACTGCCCAAGCGTCAAAGTAGCGGGGGAGCCATGGGTAAAATCCTGCAGTCCGCTACAGTCAATGAAACGCTTGAGCAGCTGGACCTCGGCATGAAAGGTCCAGCACTGAACGAGCAAGCTTGGTGGCGAAGCCACATCTTAAGCTATCCCGGCGAAAAGCTGTCGTACTACGGCGCTGAGAACGAGCTTGGTGAGGTGGGCCACCCCTACTATCACGGCCAGCATCTGGGTCAAGATCAGGTCATCTATCTCATAGACACAAAGCCAGACTTAACCGACAAGGTGAGGAGAGCCCCCGTTTTCATGCTGGACCGGCCGAACTCACCGAGAATGATGCCAATAGGAACTCGTCTCCATGGATGCAGAAGCTCTGCCAGACCTCCCCTTCAGAATCTCCCCCGGTATACCGAGTAGCCACGGAACCTCCGTGGCCGGCTTGATGGTAGGTGCGAAGACGGGAATTGTGCCACGCGCGAAGATTGTGTACCCGCCCGATAACCAGCACCTCACCTCGATGCACTTGTTCCTTCCGAGGTTGCTTCAGGTCGTTAACCATCTGGAAGCAAACAAAGAGCTGCAGGGCCACTGCGTGATCAATATGCCATGGGGCTTCCCGAAATCGGACCAGAGTACAACTATGAGGGAATGGGGCCGCGTCCTGGGTAAGAAGCGCTATACCTTGTCATCTTGGAGAGCATCTAACACTTTGGCACTCAGGCAAGCTTCTTGTATATCTCGAGCGCAGACTCAAATGCGTTCTTGTTACCTTGGCAGGCAATTTCAGGGCTAAATGGCCCGACGCCAAGACCCAGGACTACTACCCCAATCTCCTTCAACATGAGAAAAAGGGACTCAACATGTTAATCTCGGGCGCAACTGGCAGGCAAGGTTACCTCTCCTTGAGGTGGGAACACTCCAGCTTGATAACCCCCGAATTTCAACTAATACTCGTGCCAGGTCGCAAGGTGCCGCCTCGCCCACCTGCCTCAGTAACTACGGCAAGCTCTACACCGGCTATTATTGCCAGCCGACGCACAAGAGCGTGCCGCCTGGTCACGACGATCCGGCACACACCCGGCCGGCGCCGATGTGGACCACGACCGGGACGACTCGGTCCACGCAGGCCCTTGACGGCGGTCTCACAAGCCTGCCACCTCTCACTAACACTTACACCCCCGTGACGGACTGTGCCGGCAAGGTCAAGCCGACGACGATATCCAACAGGTCGGGTGGAAGGATGGCCTGCGTCACCAGCAGCTACTGCTCCAGCTATCCAGCGCCGACCCCGACAGCAACGGCAACGGATATGCTTTGCCAGATCAATCGCGATGCAAAGACTATCCCTGCCCAGACGGCGAGTACGGCTGGTGCAGCGGCGGCCACTGCAAGTGCAGAGACCGGAAGCCCGCCGAAACGCAAGAGTGCCTCAGCAACCAACACTGCCAGAGCTTCGCCTGTGGCGGAGAGAAGCTTCTGTTCTGTGACAGGGGATGCTGCGGCTGCAAGAACAAGCCATGTTCCAGCGTCGGGGACTGCTCTGGCTCCTGCAGCTGGGACGAGAGGGCCACCTGCAGCTCCAGCGGCTGCACGTGCCCGGCCGTTTCTTTCTCCATGAGGCGCGCAGTCCACTGCGAGAGGTTCGGCCAGGGCTTCTATAGCGAAGCGGTCCTGACCGACGGGACCTGGAAATGGACCATCAGCAACGCCCGGGACGGTTGCCGCAGCCCGGAGGGATTTGTTGACTTTTGCATCGATGAGGAGAGAAACCGTAGGAAGTTTCGGTTGGCAGATGACGTTCCCAGATGTTTAATTGGCGGACAAGTAGTGGATGGCGGCGATTGTCCCAACCAAAAGAACCATAGCTGTGTGGTCGCTGACTAGTATGAGGTCAAGTGCACCTGGTAACGCGAGCTTAGATTGGGGGGCAGCAAGTATTTCTATCCTGTCCGGTAGGCATCTCAGCTATCCTCGGTATTCCCTATCTCAAGCACCTTAGGTATCTTGGGCTCACTCGGGATATGTAAGATGCCCTAGTAGACAAATACATGTTGCCACCTACTGTATTCACTTGGCAATTGTACTGAAGTAAATGACTAGTTTGACCTTACAATTTAAAGAGTATACCTACAAAGAAGTTGACTCTGGGAAGGTTTGGGCTTGCTGTCAATGGACATTTTGGTAGCGGCGGCCATGCGTATGGCCGAAACTGTGTCTGTTGTGTGGTTGATTTGAAGAGGGCTGGCCTTTGGCTGTGGGTGTTCTGATGTTATTGACCATGTCTATGTGCATGATGAAAGCCATCGTGGATAAGATGCGCTTTTGTAGAGATTTCATGAAGACAACCGCGACCCAAGTCCATTTGAATCGAATATTTGGCATCTCTGTGTTATGTTCAACAATATTATGGCTACGACAGCGCCGTGTGCTGGGTCTTAGTCCCTAGCTTTACACCTCTCAGCCTAACAATGCCTTTTGAAGACTTTGACCTTTTGCTACAGTTTTATAATGGCGGCGTGGTCTGAGTAATTGTGATTGCGTAGGTCCGGCTCTGGCCTCGGCTTCAGTAGCTGTCGTAAAGGCAGAGCCAGTCTTTTTTCAGACACGACACCCAGGACGGTTTCGCGATGGCGTCTGTTCTGGTTCTCTTGCTCACCACTCTCTACTCGATGTAGAATCGCCCGTGACAAACCACCAACTCGGAAACGGCCGCACTCTGGTGCCGCACTGGTCAAGTAGCTTGGTTCCCCATGACCCAACGACGAGGGTCGTGTCAACTCCCTCGCCGCCGGGGAGGATGAAGTCGATGTTTGTCCTCACAACCCCAGGTGGTATTTCATCCTGGTTAATGACTGGAAATTCGACGTCGCCGAGCTTGAGCCGCGTTCCAGGAACGTACAAAGGCCCATACAGATTCACAATCTCGGCGAGCTCGGCATCATAATACGTTTTTAGCCGCGCACCGTCACTGCGCCACCAACAAAACGCCGTTAACCATTCAGACATCTTGATGGGCTCGCCGGACATTTCATCGCCGTCCATGTGGCACGCGCGTTGCCAGAAGTCCTGCACGTTAGTGGCCGTGGGCCTCTCAAAGCTGGCGATCATGAATTCGACCGCGGCGGAGAGAGCCTGCGACCAGGATCTGACAGTCGAGTCACCCTCCTCCTTGTTGTTACGCGATGCAGTCTCAGATTCTGCGAGGCGAGAGATGCGTCTAGCCAGATCAATCCAGTCTTTTTGCTCGCCATGTAGAGTGACCGAGGGAAACCCGCAGCCGAAGATCACAGAGTGGTCAAAGTATTCTTTGACGGTGCCACGGAATACCGAGGCCGCGGCGACCTCGTCGTCAGGCTGTGTCGTGCTGAAGACTGGGAGCAGCCAGTCCGCCAACGTGGGGTCCACCAGCTTCTCACGGACGAGCCCGACAAATTGCTTCACCAGAGCAGCAAGGTCTATGTCTGCGAATGACTGGCTCTTCAGGTCGATGATTTCAAGTCTCTGACGGCCGCTGTGTGCGACAAAACGGTCACGAAGGGCCTCGGCCCTGCTTTCGTCGCCACCACCAACGTAGAATCTGAATTGCGTCAGCACGGCCAGCCACACGTCGTCTGGCCGGAGCTCGAGGTGCTGGTCTTGCTGCCAGGCGTTGATCACCGTGCACACGAATCCGTTTCTTCGACTCAAAAGGGTGCCCTTGTCCGTGTCGGAGACGGAGCTGAGCAGCACGCGGTGCTTGTGGTCGTAGGGCAGAAGGAGCTCGCGGGCTCCCGTGGCGTGCTTGTCGTGACTGTGGCCGACGATGGGCGACGCCCCGAAATGTAGCGTCACAGGCATTGAAGCGGCGATGTTTCTTGTCGGCTGTAGAAGCAAGGCTGGCGTCTCCTCGAGTCTGTCACCCACCACACCGAGTGATTTTTATGACCCCTTTGTATCAGACATTTTAGATCTCGATACCCTATGCGAGCACTCAATGCACCCCAGCCACGGTTCAATACACCCTCGACAGATGTCAACAACGGGGGACATTGGTTGCGAGTCGTCGAATGATGGGCAGTATCGTGTCCATTTACGCACAGTTATCCCAGCTCCTGTTTCAATTGAACATGCACGCGCCTCACGACATGGTGGCGCAAGGAGGGCGAGGCGCCTTTAATTCTTCGAACTCTCTAGTGTCGTCCCTCTGCGAGACGCTGCGCATTTTTGAAGAGGGGGCATTGTGTCATGCTAGAGAAATGACCACCTCTTCGAGCTTCCTGCTGGCGGTTTCGGTGGTTGGCAAGGGCCGTCGACCTATATCATGGCATGGCCAAGAGTCTCGATCATCCCGCGTCTGCCCCGCCAGTTGGCTTACACGTGACGCTATGCTTGCTCGCTAACATCCACACTATGGAACTTCAGCTGGAATATATGCGACAAAGGTGCCAAAGCTCACACCACAATCTTAGCATCGAGACTATAAAACATATTGATGAGACTGTTACCATTTTGCAGAAATACTCTGCGCTCTGGCGCTGATGGGACGGGCATGGCTGTGATGGATGTTGCTTTAGACGAGAGGCTAGAAAGAGACTAGTTAACGAGCCGCCCTATTGGTCCGGATCTAGCCGAGAGGGTTAATCTAACTCGTCGTTGGCCTGGCGCGAGGGGAAAGTGTAGTGGACTTGGGTCCACCAGTGCATTGCCTACTAGCTGGTGGTCTGTAGACGAGGGAGAGGACAACAAGAATAATAGCGCGATTGAAACGTGTCAAATTGTTGTTTGGTAGTTTCTGATCTCGAGGCCTGTTGTTGCCACCAGTTGGTGGTGGATGATGCAAAGGGGAACTCTGTGGGAAGTGGGAAGGCCCGGTCCAACTGGGTACCTACTCAGGTAGCCATATATTCGCCTCTTTATACTATAAGCTTGTATAGTTAGAGAAGGTAGATGCTCTTAGCCAGCTAGTAGTAGCTATAATAAGAATTAGTTTAAACACTACTAGTAAGCTACCCTATACCTATAAAGTTTATAGGTTATTAGTATTCCTACTGTATTAGAAACGCATTTTATATATTTAGAGAATACATTAAACACGCTTAGTTTATATATACTCTAAGAATAATTATAAATAATAGTATTTTTAGTAGCATATAGGGTTTAGCTTTCATTAAAGTGACTCGGTTTCGTTTTTACCATCCAGATGGTGGCTCCGCCATGTGCCGTCCTTTGCCATTGAAAAAAGGTGAGTGCGAGAGCTGAACCCTCCTCACCGACTCGGCAAGCATTTTTTTCTTCCAGTTAGATGTAATTCTCCCATTGTAGTATGACCACAGCCGAGGCAGGATGTACACATCATTTGCACAGTATTGCACAATCTCCTTGGGAAGCGGCCGCTTGTTGAAGACCTCGTAGCTGCCTCCCTTTTCTGGCGCAAAAAGCCGCTGGCCAGCTCTCTTGCTCTCTAGCCAATCCAGTCTTTCGCGTATGGTAAGATTTGCATCGATTTCGATGCATTTGGCAAGCCCGCTGACGAATCTCCTGCGCGATGTACGAGTTGCCAGCTCCATAAGCTGAAGGTCTTGAATGCCACGCAGATGGATACCGAAGTGGCTATACAAAGCGTCAGAGTCGTTTCGAACATCAAAAAACACCTTTGGAATGCTCTCTGATTCCAAAATGATCTTGAGAGTGTCGCCGTCCCCTCCCACCGTCGAGAAAGCGCTGGTGTTCAAGGAATGCACATCCACCAGATAGGTACGCTGCGCAGGACGCGAGTAGATCTGTAGAATAGAGACAGACCCATCACGAGATAGATTGATGCCTTCTAAATCAATGTAAAGAGAGGGTGGACTGATAGGTAGACCTTGTATGTCCTTGATCAGTGAAGCTATTCCTTCGACTGTGTCAACGAGGGTGACCGCCGACTGCTCAATTTGGGCGTTGTCGGGGTTAACAGGGACCGAAGTCGACATCTGTGGCTTAAGAACGGCGGAAAAAGTGTTTGACATTGTAACTTGTTTGGAGAAGGGGGATTCAAAGTTAAGAGGAACTGATAGAGGGTGCTTTGCAATTTTGGCTGAGCCTGTTTCGATCCGATTACTTTCTCGGGTCCCTCGGGTGCTTTTATATTCGAGCGGATACGTGATAACCCTTGAAAGCCTGAGAGACTGGAATGTATTATTGCCTTGGTCATTTTTGAGAGCTTCAGAGCAGGCGAGCCTGGAGCTGTGTACATGGCTGGAGCCGTCTACTCCTTGCTGGCGATGACCAAAATGGAGGCCTACAGCGCTCTGAGTGGCTGGAGCTTTGCCGTCTCGAACTTGCTGGCGCTCTCCACAGCGGCGGCTCACTGTGCCCACCAAAATGGAGGCCCAGAGGGCTGTGAGTGGTTGGGTTGGCTTGTGCCGTCTGTTTTCTGCATCCGACTGTCTAAGGCATATGCAACATGTTGACTGCATCCCTTTAGATGTGCGGCGGCTCCAGCGAGTATTTCTATCCACTGACCAGGCGTACACTACTTGTACCAAGATGCAGGGATTATTACTAGAATCTTGGTGTACTCATGAGTATTTATGGACAGAGACAGTACTTTAATGTACTAGGAGACACCACTAAAACCCAAGTACCTTGAACAGTTCATATTGTTATTAGTTATTATCCTTGCGAGTGACCGCTCTGGAGACGCCGCACATGAAAAGAGATATGAGGCAACCCGAGGTGGCATCATGCAAACGCTAATGCAGTGGCCTCCCATTAGACCAATTGCGACGAGCCCTGCAGTATGACAGGCATGCGACTTGCGGGCCACAGAGCTATCTCGAGAAGAGCGGTGTTGTTGAGCTCCGCTGGCATCGGCAGTACTAGTTGAGGTTGAGCAGCAACCAGCTTGAAAGTAGAGAAACATATTAGATCCGTGCCACAGCCATCGCGTCTAGGCTCTTGTTTTCTCCCCAAACTTTTTTGCATACTTGATCCTGGAACCTCCTTAGCCCACGGCGTCTAAAGTTGCCAAGGGTGGCAACTTTCCCTCGTCAAGCAGATGCCGTGGGCTTCATAATGGCCGCTCTTAGCAATCAACGACCTGTTCCCGCGCGATTTGGTGCTGAGCCTTGTGTGCCGCTCCCCTTGAAATTTTCTTTTGGTAGGATATTTGCTCCAGCGACAAGAGAACGAGAATCTGACACAGTCAGTTACGAATGCTGTCTCGAACGTCCCGCAGCGACAGAGACGCAGCCGCTATACCATCCCCCGATGGAGGCGCGATGCTGCGTGATCTGCAGACGGCTGTTCGAGCATGTTTGAACCTCATGTTGCTGTACATATCACAGCTTACACTCTTTGTTAGTGCTCTACACTCTCTTATTAGAAATAAGATGACTGACGCTTTCTACTTTATGCAGCCGACCTGTAGACAAAGTCGTTAAAAGGTCTAGCCACTCAACCAATACTTCAGAAAACAAAGCTTCATCTACACAACAAAAAGTCCATCTTTGCTTACACACTATAATGGCTCACAAACCCTCATTGCAGCAGTGTCAAACTACCTCCATGGGAAGTTTGGCACTCCCAGCCTCGCCACCGCCCAATCACAATGACAGAAGCCGCACTCCTGACCGTTCCAATGACGAAAGTTTAGGGAGGCGAGCTGATGTGGCAAGCTTTCATACCCGACTTGAGAACATGGCCTACGATGGTATCCCACATGAGGTGGGTATTATGGCAGATGAACCTCAACTATCGGCTACTTCGCCTGCTGTCTCTGACGAAAACTTCATCTCTCCGAGCGAACTAATAGTCAATCGGGTGTCTATCCCCCAGAGCCAAGTTTACATGCCCGAGAACCGGCATGCAAGCCGCCCAGAGACAGAGACGAATCTGACTCCGGAACTATCTCCTATGCCAGCCATGCAGTCTAGCCGCAGGTGAGAGGACTGATGTGTTCATCATCGTCTAGAACTAACCGATTCTTTTTACATAGGTCAGACTCCCGTAAATGTAAATTATGTGGCAAAATTTGTGCCAGGACCCGGGGTCTCGAAGCTCACTATCTCATTCATCACAAAGACGAAGCGAAACATTTGGGCCTAAAACGTATAACTTGTGGAATAGATGGCTGTCCCAAAACATATGCTCGAGATTGTACTTTTCGCAAACATTTTAAAGAAAAACATGTTTATCGATACCTAGTGCGAGGGTTCTCGTCAAGTGTAGACCATGTAATAAGCTTACCGCTACTCTCAGAATCAAAGATAACTAAGCTCAGGCAGATGGAGTCATCTGTTATCCTGGGGCACTTTAATGACTGAGAGCAAAAGAACATGGACGTAGTTCGGTTCGTCAAACATTGAGAGTTAGTATAGTCGCATTAAGCTAAGCATTCTCTTGATGAGCCTCACGAGTTACTGGTAGAAGCCCACTTCGCAATCTTCTATGAACACCTCAGCCATACCGCTGCAAGCCTCGCCTAAGCTCCCGATAGTTAACCCCCTAGCGACTGTATCGCTCATCTTCTTCTCAACGAAGGCATCCACGGCTAATACCCCATAAGTTAAGACGCATCCGAGCTGAGTGCGAGGAGTTCGTAGCTAATGGAAACTGTCAAGCTTATTCACAAGCCGACACTTTGACTTTAGTTTGCATATTTCACCAGGAAAGGAAATCCCCATCAACGGGAATCTAGTTGCCCAGACAAGTATTAATAGTGACTAGGGTGTCAGTCGTCAGAGTCAGAGTCAACTTCATCGGGCCTCGCCACGAGCAAATAGCTCAGATAAAGCCGGACATCCCGTGTTTCGGCTCTCTTGCCGCGCGAATCCAAAGCCGTCCTAGAAACATTGTTGACTGAGAATCTAGGAGCAAGGGAGCCATCTCTGACTTCTGCAACAAACTCAGTCCACATATTCACCGTTTCCGGACAGTCCATGGAACGCAGGCGCGACAGGCGCAGGACATTTCCTCCTGATGCTGTCCTTATCCACTTCTGAAGGAGGTCGACTTCTCGGCACACACGGAGCGCCTTGCATACAAATTCCAAGTCTGAGAGGTTGAGATTAGATTCTGGTACTGGGAAAGAGAAGGCTCACTGCGTACCTCTCTTAAGACGTGCTGCTACTTTCCTAGCATCGCTTCCATTGAGATGGCCTATCAGTGCGGCCATTGCAATGCCCAGACCGGCGGTCAGTGTGACAGGATTGATGACCGCGATTGTAGGCCACGTGAGGGTGGTGAGCAGCCCAGCAAAGTGTGCGAAGGTGAACTGAGAGAGCGGCAACGACGCTGTGCCGATGCTGCCTATAGACAGTGCGGCGCCGAGGCCGCCGAGCAGGCCTGGCAGACCAGGTCCGTCATCGGCACGATACAGGGCGAGAAACCTAGCTAAAACATCATCATTGCTGAGGAGTATCCTTGATGCGGCCTGCAAAACCAGGTACGACTGCTCGTCAATGTGTCTGTGCCACTGCCTGATGTTTCCCTGAGTCACGTTCCCTGAATGCGTTAGTGTATGGTATTGATGGCCTTCTGACGTGCATACGGAAAGGTAATGAAGTATGCGAATGATGAAAGGCTCCAATAGTTACCTTGGAGCCTCCTTGTACTGATAGCCATCGAAGCAATAGCGCCAGCAAGAAGTTCATCTGCCTCTTGCAACTGGATTACCAGGCTGCCATTTGCCTATGCGTCTCAATCAGCTTACACTCTGCTTGCAGCTTTGGTAAAGGTGCTTATTGTACCGCATCATCGTCCTCGTCGTCTTCCCGGCTGTTGATAAGCCACTCAAGAAAGCGTCCGGCAGCCTCGACTGCTTGCCGCGGCTGTGCCTTATGCATCATTGCAGCAGAAGGTTTGTACACGGGTATATCTGTTATGATGCTCAGAGCAAAAGAGTTCACCCTAGCATTAAAAGGTTATCACAAGATGTGCTGCTTGCAAGCCCGTGTTCCCGCACTGTGGGGGTACGAAACATACCATGGCGGGAGCTGATCGGTTGGCGCCCCGTCAATGTTGTTGAGCAGCCGAGCTGGGCGGCCGCAGGCAATCTTGTACAGGCACTTTCGGAAGATGTCGTCAAACTGCACGGATCTGGGAGATATGCCCATTGCGCCTCGAGCCGTAATCTTGGCAATCTCGGCCGTGTTTCTGTAGTTTAGAATGGCGTTACACAGGCACTCTGCCTTTTGTTCAAATGGTACGAGTGCTACCGAGGAAGATGTGCGGGCGAATCTGATCTACAGGCCATGAGCAACAGCACTGTCAAAACGAATCACGCGTGTCGATGCTTACCGCCAAGACGCCATCTTGAAGTTCGCTGGTCTCGACTTTGAGCCTTTTGCACCGTCCTTTGACGAGATTTAACAACTTTTTCCTGCAGGGCGGCCCCGTGTCTGCTTCCTGTGGTTCAAGAATCTGGATATCAAAGCATGCGTTTGGTGCCGGCATCCAATCTTGGAATACAGGATGCAGCTCATTCTCCGCCATGATTAACCCTGAGGTTGTGCAGGAGCTCTGGTTTTGTTTAGTTGATTGATGATTGAAATTGCGGCTTCTCGCACCGTACTGAGCTGCAAGGCATCATGGCAGCCTGGAAATGGCGAAATAGGAGTGCTGTCGTCAATGTTCTTACCCCGCTCGTTAGGCAGTGATGGTTAGGCTGTGCCTTTTGCACCCGTTGAAAGAGAGTAGTCCAAGCTCGCGTTTGCCATCCCACCACCGCCTTCCACTAGCAGCAAGAGTTGAGCTGAAAAAAAGGCTTCAATCTCTTGTTTGAATCCTTCGCAAGGTTTGGCGCGACCTTTCAAGGCAATTGCTAGTGCTGGGATTCGCAAGCCGAGTTTATTATAAATACGGCGGCTCTGTCTTCGCTTAAAGTGCTGCTGGCATTATGACTCCTATATACAAAATGGACGATCCATTCGACCCAAACATTCACACAATCTCTTTCAAAGTGTAGAGAAGGCATCCAATCACTAGGACTGAGGTTGTTGAAAGGAATACTTCGCCCCACTGCCAACCCTCGATCCCTCGCGGCTCGGGGGCCATCGACACAGAAGCCTCTCACTAGATAGGTATATGTCTATAAAAAACAGACTTAAGTAATAAACACTTATAGATATAGTATCTTATTAATAGAGTAATATTATAATACTTTATAAACTTAGAAGTAGTTAAAGTCTTTAATAAAGTATATATTACTTATAAGTACTATAAAGATAAACTAACTAAAGTTAATAAAAGAAATAGTAAAATTACTTCTATTAAATAAAATAAAATATATAATTAAACTAGAGGAAGGAAAGAGACTACTTTAAGGACTAATTTCTACTCTCTTAGTAATAGAGTTTAAAGAACTTAAGGAATTAATTACTAAAGGCTTATATTAAAACTGAATTAATAGTTAATTAGTCTAATAAGAGTATTTATACTCTTTGTATTAAAGAAAAGAGAATAACTATATTTATATATTAACTATAAAGAGTTAAATAAAGTAACTTATAAGAATTAAGTATTATTATCTTTAAATTCTAAAATCCTAAAATAAATAAAAAGAATATAAATATATATAAAATTAATTATAAGAATATATATAAGTAACTATATATTTATGAAGGTAATAAGTAGATAATAATATTCTACTATTAATATAAACGCTTTAAGTATTTAATACTATTTTTTAACTTTTTAAGTCCCTTTATATTATTCTAAGAGTATATAAATTATATTCTCTATAAAGAGATTAATTCTATCTATATTATCTATTTAAATAATATACTAGTAGTTTATAGACAGACTATAGTATATATATAGTATATTTATTAAGTTCTATAATAGTTAAAAAAAGTAAAACTATATTTTAACTTTAAAAGGTATTAATATAATATAAAGAAAGTAATAATTATAGTATAAGTTATATAGAAAAGTACCTTTTAATAATAAAACTATTATATAGATTAATTAATAAACATTTAGTATAGCTATTTATTAAAAATCCTGTTTTTTAAAGACTTATTCTATTCTTTTATTATAATACTTATATTATTATAGTTCACTTATAAGCCTAGTAATCTTAGATTAGTACTAGATTACTATAATCCCTAGTAATTTAATTATATATTTATTTCTTCTATTTTTATATTTTTATAAGTACTCTATAGTTACTTATTAAACTACTTTACTCTCTATCTATAGTACTTTAGTATATTTATAAATATATTTATTATAGTTAGTTTAGACTATAATATTTAGTATAATTAATAAGTACTTAAAAGTATTTATTTAATACTTTTATTATACTCTTTAAATTAGAGTTTATATATTTAAAAATATTAAATTTAGTATTAAAAGAATAGTATTATTATTATTATAAATATAATAGTATTATTAATAGTATATATATAAATATAGAATTAAATAAATTAAACTAAAGCTAAATATTTTAATACTTAAATAGAATATAAAGTTATAAAATAATTAAAAAGATTATTATAATAATCTAATAAACTAAAAAGGTTATTAAAATTATAAAGTAAGTATTAAAGACTAGCCCTATAGCTATTATAAGTAAGTGTTAATATAAGGTTAAATTAAATCTCTTATAAAGGAAGAGATAAAGAGGTTATAATAAAGTGGCTACTATATATAAAGGAGAGTCCCCCCCCCCCTATTAGCCTTATACCTTAGGCCACTAGACTATTAGTCTAGCTAGGCTATAGCCTAAGCTCTTATATAGCCCCTCTATTATAGTTATAGAAAACCCCTCTATAGTGCCCTTTAACTATTATAATATTACCCTCTATTAATTATCTTATTTAGAGTTCTTTTTATAATAGCCTTATTTTTATTACTTATTTTTTTAGTGTATTACTATAGAGAGTATTCTTTTAGGTTAGTAGTAGCCTATTATTTATTCCTTCTAATATAAGTATTATATTAGTATACACTTAATAGTCTCTTTTTAATCCTAAAGAGGGTATTACTTTATAGATAGCTCTTTATTAGGAGGTTATAAAAGTAAACTATAAGTAAAGTACTAGTCCCCCTCTTTATTAATACTTAATATTATTTTATCTCCTTTTAAAATTCTCTCCCTTTTAAACTTTTTCCTCTTATTATTATTCCTCTAGTAAGTAACTTTATTATATCTCTATTTATACTTACTCTTAATTATTACTTATTATTCCTTACTTATATTCTAAATCCTTTTTAACTCTAAATAACCTATATTATAATAGACACTATTACTATACTACTACTACCTCCCCCTCCTAAGGGTAATAATAAGGTTAGACTAAAAGACTATAAAGGCTTATATTATACTTAAGGTAGTATCTTATTATAAAGTAACTCTAATAATAAGTAGTAAGACTTTATTAAAGAGGTCTAGTTTCTTTACTTTAACTACCTCTTATTAATAAAGATATACTTTACTTTATAATATAAAATAACTACTAATAATAGTTATACTTAGTACTCTATATATAAGAAGCTTTATAATAAATATTTATACTTTTTTACTATAAGTCTATTTTTATATTAACTTATTTATTATATTACCTCTCTTATTATTAATTAGAAAGTAATTAAAGTTACTATAGTAGGTAAAATAAATAAGTTAGGTTTAAAATAAGTAAAGCCTACCCCCACTATAGTATTAGTACTCACCTAGCTCTATAATATTATAGTCTACTTTAAGGCTTACCCACCCTATACTAATATTATTAAAGTGCTTACTACCCCTACTCTTATTACTACTTAGGATACTAAGTCTACTATATTAACTCTAGTTAGTACTTAAAATACTATTATCTTTAAGGGTAGTAGTAGCTACTATAGTACTAACTAGGACCTTATATTAATAGTATCCTCCTTTAACTTAACCCTATTTAGGATCTATAGTAAGATTTAAGCTTTTAATATAAATACCTTTACTACTATTATTATACTTTATTAATAGTATTCTAGGCTAACCACTAGACTAAGGCTAACTACTATTATAAGCTTAATATAATTATAGTTACTTTTAATACCTATCTTCTTAAGGGTATAATAGCCCTTATAATAAGCTAGTAGACACTATATTAGGCCCTTAAGGCCCTTAAGCCTAAGTTATACTCCTCTTATAATAGTTATACTTATAATAATAACTATTTATACTATTACTACTCTAACTAGTAATCCTATTAGTATAAATACTATAGGTACTATAAGTAATTATATACTCTAATATATTAGAATATCTTTTTTTAAGTTTATAGTTAATATAAGTACTTACTTTATTATTATAAGTAGGAGTTTAGGTTATAAGTCTTTAATATAGAGTTAATTTCTTTTAATAATAGTACTTCCTTCTTTAATAGACTACTATAAGTTTATTATTTCTATTATCTAGTATACTTATATTAGTATTATCTTTTTTATATTTTATTTTTATTTTTCCCTTAGTATAGAGTTTTATAGTATTAAAGAGTTTTTATATTTTTATATATTCTTTTTTAATAAATAGTTTTATAAGTATAGACTATATATACTAAGGTTCTAAAGTATAATCTTATTAATACTATAAGTTTATTAAAGAGCCCTTATTATAATAAATAAATTCTTTTTATTTACTACTATTTTACTATTCTTTTATTAATATCCTATATTACTATTAGTTCTAGTTACACTTCTTCTATAAGTATACCTCCTATAGCCCTATATTATAGTATATATCTCCTTACTCTATTTTAAACTTATAAAGTACTATAGTACCCTATAGTGTATTAAGGGGTTCTTATATAAGGTTATAATACCCTTACTATTTTACTAACACTTTATATCTACCTCCCCTTCTTTATATATTTTATACCTAAAGGACTACTAATACTTTAAACTCCTCCCTTAGACTATTACTATCCTTATTATTAATAAGTTATAGTTTAAATACTTAATCCTCTTATAATTAGAATAGAAAAGGGTTATTTTATACTCTCTTAACTAAATCTATATAGAAGGTATTATAAAGGTCCTTTAGTATATTAAGTATTATATTTAATAATAATAATATTATTATTATTATATATTTTATTTAAACCTAGTTAAGTTTCTTTAATAGTCTTAAGGTTATAATATTATAGAGTAAGAGTTATACTTTATTCTTAACTTAATATTAGTTAGTTAAACACTATAAGTAGTCTATTACTTTCTTTATATATTATTATATATAAGTAATACTAGTTTAGACTAACTTAATAATACTTAATCCTCTTATAATTAGAATAGAAAAGGGTTATTTTATACTCTCTTAACTAAATCTATATAGAAGGTATTATAAAGGTCCTTTAGTATATTAAGTATTATATTTAATAATAATAATATTATTATTATTATATATTTTATTTAAACCTAGTTAAGTTTCTTTAATAGTCTTAAGGTTATAATATTATAGAGTAAGAGTTATACTTTATTCTTAACTTAATATTAGTTAGTTAAACACTATAAGT